GATTGGTTGTGCAGTTCGACGAAGAAGGGAGTGGCGACCATAGCTGCAGAGCTCGGACAAAGGGTTGACGAAGGAAGGAGAAGTGGAGAAGGGAGGAGAGACTGGAGAGGAAGAGGAAGACATAGCTGAGGAAGGAGGAAGGAGGGACAACGAAGTAGAAGACAAACATAGCCGAGGGTGAACCAAAAAAAAAGAAAAAAAGAAGAAAAGGAGGAAGAAGAAAGGTGAAGGAGGGGGAAAGAGAAGTGAAGGGTGGCGAGGAAGAAGGTGCCGACAGCCATAGCCGACCAGAGGGTTGACCAGGCGTTGACCAGAGGGTTGACCGGGCGTTGACCGAGGCGTTGACCGGAGTCGTCGACCACGAGTTTGACCAAGCTGGAGTTGGTATAATCTCGCCAAGCCCTTAGCCTATCCCCTCGCCCTATGGATGTGCACTCACCCTATGGTACTTGCTGAGTCTGAGTCTGTCTGTCTCTTCTTTTTGCATTGAGTCTCTTCTGTCCAGGTGATAGGACTCCGTGTATGAAGGATAGGGCCTCGTTGACCAAACCCACACGGGCTGAGTAGGGCTAAAGACTGTGTCTGACGACTCGACTATCCCGGAGGACACGAACCCTCCCAAGGACCGGTACTGACCGGCGGGCTGCTCGGTGTGGCACGGTAGGCCCAAAATCCGAGCTGTGGGCTGCACAACGGGCCGTCTACGTCTTGAGAGAACCTGCTGACCGCGTCGTCTTGTCTGCGACGTTAAAGAATTCCTGAGGAGTTATGGGGGATCTCCTTAAATGCCTCCTGGTCAGCAACAGGTTCTGTAGTGACGGCTGTAGTGATTAGAGTCTAGGCTAGAGACCACTGTGGTCCGTAGATTGAGTCAGTCTTAAGTTGAGTCAGTTAGGGGGAGAGTCTAAGTGGTGAGGAGCGGAACCGTCACTTGGTTGTTCACCTTTCACCATGGTTGACATGCGTAGTGGTCGGAGCACCTCCCCTTACACAGCAGAACAGGAGGCGAAAACCGCCGCCCTCCTGAAAGAGAAAAGAGAGAAGAAGGAGGTCAAGAAGAGGGCCCTGTTGGAAGAACAGGCAGCGAAAATGAGAAAGATTGAGGAGGAGATGGCCAGAGAGAGGGAGAGTCTAAAGAGAGAAGAAGAAGAGAAGCCCAAGGCGGTAGAAAAGGAGGAAGAGGAGGAAGAACAGCCACTGGAAAGGCGAAGGGCAGGAGGAAGAGGTGAATCCAGTGGCACAAAAGAAGATCAAATGGAGAAGAAACTTATAGTGGGTTGCTGGTTTGTCCCCGGGGGAAGAAGAAAAGGCACTGATGTATGTGCCCAAGGAAGAACAAGAGGCGGCCATGCGAGAGTGGGATGCAAAAGAAGACCCACTCAAGCGGCAAGCAATGGAGGATGAGAAGAGGATGGAGTGGAAGTTCCGATTAACGAGGGAGAGAAAAAGGAGAATGGAGGCGGCAAGTGAGGCGGCTAAAGAATGGAAGAGGTGAAGAAGCAGAGAGACTAGATGGCGACGCAGGTGGATCTACTAGGGAAAATGGAGATAATGGCAAGAAACATAGAGCATTTGGCACAAGTCCAGGAAGAGCAATATTTATTTGGTAGAGGTCAGGACATTGCTGTACGCTCTATACGACCGGGGCTCCGGGACTTCGCCAGGGAATTGGCGACGCAGGTGGGCTCAGAGGTGAGGGCCCGCCTAGAGGGCAAGGGCGCCATAGAAGGTGCCAGATTGACTGCTCCCAAGGAGGAGGAAGCACGTCCCCGTAGGGAGCCGGTCAAGGTCAAGTTCCTTGACTCCTATAGTGGGAAGAAGGAGGAAAAATTTGACAATTGGGAGGCTAACATTAAAACGTACGTGCACCTACAGAAAGTCGCCCCAGATGAGCATGTCCTAATAGCTATTCACGCTCTTAGGGAGGAAGCAGCAAGCTTCGCCCGTTCCCTATGTCGTGCCGCCAAATGTAATGATGATTTGCTGGCTTACTCCGCGTTCACTCCCCTCAGTGACTTCCTTAAGTTGCTGAGAGAACAGTTTGCAGACGTGACCCGTAGTGTCAAGGCTTCAGATAAGCTGCAAACCATCCATTCTTGTCAGTGGAGGAGTGCGAGGGCACTCAAGGGTGTGATGGATGAGTTGGTCACCGTTCCTGACCATGGGGTCACTGAGACCCAATTGGTCAACCTCTTCTACCGCGCTATGCCCGATCACTTACGTGGGCATTTCTTTGAAAAGAGTCATCAGCCTACCATGACCTACGATGCTTTGAGCAGGGAAGTGGTAGCGTTCGAAGCACGGTCCGCGTCAGTTTCCACTTTCTGGCACAAAGACCTAGACAAAGGCAAAAAGTGGAAGGGTCGCACCATTTCGGGTCAGGTCAAGACCAAGGATCGTTTGATCCTTACGTTAGATTAGGGTAGTGTCGACGAAGTTCACTACGAGCAGATTGAGTGGGGACTAGAGGAGGAGGACAGTGGCGTTAGTCAGGGGAGGACATACGCTGCTGTCGCGGCTGGAGGGAGGTCGCAAGGAGGAAGTAGAGGCCAGGGCCAAGGGGGTCGGGCCAAGGGGGGCCGTCCCCAGGGCGATCAGGGGGTTGGTGGTAGAGGAGGAAACCGCCAAGCGGGAGGAAGGGGTCAAGGTCCCCCGCAAAACCGTTAAGGGAATAGGTCGCCTAATAGGGGTAATAGATCACCCCATAGGAGAGGAGGATGGCACCCAGGTCTGCCACAGGGTAGGCCTTGGGAGGACTTGGGCCTGGACCAGCCCGTTTGGCAACAGCGTGTGGACCAGGGGCAATGCATTTATTGTGGTGACCCTGGCCACATCATCAAATACTGTCCAAAGTACAGAGAGGCCCGAGGGGCTGCCCAGGGGTCAAAGGCAACCGCCGGTAGGGGTAGCAACTGCCCCTACCATGAGGCCATGTGGGGAAATGAGCGCGAGCAGGCAGGAATCTCCCACACCACATGTGCCCATGGTAGAGTTTGCAGGCCGGTGCCTAGATAGCTGTCCAGAGACTGGTTGTGTTAGGGTCTCTCTAGGCACTTCCCTCACAGGAGTGGCCGGTGAGCTAAAGGAGAGGATGCCCGCCTGGGCCAAGATGAAAAAGGAGAGTAGAGGACAGTTAGTTTTGGTAGATGTAGAGATTTTCAGAGGTAGAGTAGGGGCCCTAGTAGATAGTGGGGCCACGCGCAGCTATATCAGTAGGAAGGCGCTGCAGAAGTTGCAGTTGGGACCAAAAGTCCAGAAGTTAGCAGACCCCATGGTAAGTATCCTCGCAGACAATCGCACAATGCGAGTAGAGGATTACGTAGAGGGAGTCCACGCGTACTTTCGCCTAAAGAAAGATGGGAAGGTGGAGAAAGTTCTCCATTCCCTGACTCTCCTCGTAGAGGACAACCTTCCTTTCGACATAGTCCTAGGAATGGACTGGGGAGAGGCAGTCGGGGCCACACTCCATTTGAGAGAGCACGAGTGTAGGCTCCCTAGTCCGTCAGGCGGGGTCAAGACTGCCCGACTGTTTCATGCGTCAGAAGTAGATAACTCCCTGGCGCATTGCTGCCTTAGCGCTCCTGCGTTTGCAAGATTAGTGAAGAAGGAGCAGCTAGAAGAACATGTCTTTGTAGCCTATGTTAGGCCAGTGACTGAGCCCAAAGAGGAGAAACCTATAGACCCTGCTATTGCCAAGCTGCTGGAAGAGTTTACAAACTTAGCTAAGCCGCCAACAGGAGTAGTACCGCGGCCAATCAAACATCGTATTGAAATAGAGCCTGGCAGTAGGACTCCTAAGGGAGCAGTGTTTAGGATGTCCCCGCGGGAGTTGGAGGAGTTGTGCAAGCAATTGGATAAGCTCTTAGAGAAGGGTTGGATTAGGCCCAGTTCGTCTCCATTTGGAGCACCTGTTCTGTTTGTCCCCAAGAAGGAAGGAGAGCTCAGAATGTGTATAGACTATAGGGGTCTCAATGCGATTACAGTGAAGAATGCAGAGCCACTGCCCCGTATAGATGATCTTTTAGATCGGGTGCAGGGGTGCAAGTATTTTTGGAAGATAGACCTGAAGCTCGGATATCATCAGATAGAGGTCCATCCTGATGATCAGTATAAGACCGCGTTCCGGACTAGATATGGGCACTACGAGTTTATAGTTATGCCCTTTGGACTAACCAACGCGCCAGCGACTTTTCAGCGCTGTATGAATGACTTGTTTAGGCCGTGGTTAGATAGATTCGTAGTAGTCTACCTAGATGACATTTTAGTGTTCAGTAGGACCCTCCAGGAGCATGAGGGTTATCTGAGGCAGGTCTTGGAGAAGCTGAGAGAGGCTAACTTCAAGATCAACGCGAAGAAGTGCGAATGGGCAAAGACCCAAGTGTTGTATTTAGGCCATGTCTTAGACAGAGACGGCATCAAACCAGAAGATAGTAAAATTGCAATGATTAGAGATTGGCCTACACCCTGCACGTTGACAGAGTTGCGGTCGTTTTTAGGCCTAGCTAACTACTACAGGAAGTTTGTTAGGAACTTCTCCACCATCGCTGCTCCCCTTCGCAGGTTGTTGAAGAAAGAAACAATCTGGAAGCGGGATAAGGACTGCACGTCTGCCATGAAGAAGTTGAAACAGGCGTTGATAGAGTACCCAGTCCTTAAGGTAGCCGACCCGTCCTTGCCTTTCGTTGTCACCACTGACGTGAGCCAGTATGGTATAGGTGTTGTATTACAACAAGACGATGGCAATGGATATAGACCCGTAGAGTTCATGTCTGCTAGGATGCCTTCAGAGAAGGTAGTGACATCTACCTACGAGAGGGAACTCTACGCTCTCAGGCAAGCATTAGAGCACTGGAAGCACTACTTGCTTGGGAGGCACTTCAAAGTCTACTCAGACCACGAAACGTTAAGGTGGTTAAGGACACAGGCCAAGACGACACCTAAGCTGACTAGGTGGGCCGCGGAACTAGACCAGTATGATTTTGAGCTCAAGCCAGTCAAAGGGAAGTATAAAGTAGTTGCGGACGCTCTGGAGCGATAGTTCATTATCTGGATATAGGGAGAGACCTGCAGCAGAAAGTTAGAGAGGTGTACGCGTAGGACACTATTTATAGTGACCTCCTCAAGAGAGTAAAGGAGGCCCTAGAGTCAGAACCAGACTACCGCACTACTGTTGGACTACTATTCGAGAAGACTAACTTAGTTGACCGATTGTGTGTTCCTAACAGTGAAGAGATCCGTAGTCTTATCGTAGGGGAATGCCACGATACTGAGGGACATTTTGGTTGGCAAAAGACTCTAGCTAACCTCATGTGCGCGTACATATGGCTTGGGATGAAGGCCGACTGCATAGAGTATGTTCGCAGTTGTAAGGTCTGCCAGAGAAATAAGACCTACGCGTGCCCCTCTAGGTCTTTTCAGACCCTTGCCGATTCCTGACCAGCCAGGAGATTCAGTGTCCATTGATGGACACCCATGTCAAGAGTAGGCACGACAAGAGCCAAGTCATGGTAATAGTTGACAGGTTTAGTAAGTATGCTGTTTTTGTCCCTTTGCCCTCAACGGCACGCACAAATTAGTTATTCAGAAGTTCTTTGATCATTGGGTCAGTGAACACGGGATTCCACTGTCTATAGTTGGTGATAGAGACACCCGGTTCACTAGTCAGAACTGGCAGGAGTTGATGAGAGTCTATGGCTCCAAGTTGTTGATGTCATCTGGCCGTCATCTAGAGACTAACGGTCAGACTGAACAGATGAATAAGATTCTGCAACAAGTTCTGCAAATGTACATTAGACCGGATCAGATCAATTGGGATGAGATGTTGCCCAAAGTAGCCAGTGTGTACAATAACAGCGTTGTCGGAGGGCACGACTTCCCGGCCCTCCTCCGCGTACCAAGCCCTGCTTGGTACCAGTTCCTGTAACAGTTCTCCGTTCTGATGCTCCAGCCAGTAGATAAATCCTGGACCCCTATTGTCCCTAGCACCCAGGCTGTGCCTTGGCATGGACCAGTCCCAGTGGCAGTACCCCCGACAAAAGGGGTGCGCCGCAGGACTCCCGTTGGCCGACGCAGGCTCGGCGCCCTACAGTATGGTAGAGCACGACTGGCCTGTGGCCGTGGTGGCCATCGGGCTCGCCCTGGGACGCGGAGATGAAGGGGGTGGCGCAATCTTTTCTACTGCGTGACGAGTGCCCTGTTGCCGAGTTATGGGTCAGAAACATGAGACAGAAAGTCGTTGTTGGAAAAGGAAAAGAGAAAAAGAAAAATAAAACGCTAAAAATTTAAACCCGCTTTTGTATGGGGAAAATCCAGTGGCCTCAGGTCACTGCGATGCTATGACTTCTTTCCAAATTTTGAATTGCCGTTTTCCGCCTGATTGTTCTGTCGCTTCATAGGGAAGGCCGCCGATTCAGGTTTCGGACTGCAACGGTCGTTCTGATGGTCTGGGTCTTACCAACCTCTTGTAAGTTGCCTGTACCAGACCTGTTTGTCCGAACCGCGCGGACCCCGGTGGTCGGGTTAAGAGGCAGATACATTGGGGACTGGAAAGTTGGGTGTGTGAAAAAGAAGAGAAAAGGGATGAGGGCGAAAGTTGGGTTTTAGATTCGTGCGAGGACTTGTACCGCTGGTCAGGCTGAGCTGCGGCGTGGAGGAAAATTTGAATCGTCACTCTTCTCTTTTCTATTATTACTATTATCATTGTTATTACCGTACTGGCTTTGGACGCGGCTTTCCCTTTCATCATGGGTCACTTCACGGGGAAGCCAAAGGTTCAAGTGTCTGGCTGTGGTCCACGGCCTGAGTTGGTCGGCCCTAGGCGTCCCGTCTTTGAACATGCTCAGATTGGGTGTCGCGCGTTGAAGCCCCAAAAGAAGGGTGGCCCGCGTCCGCTTTGGTAGGAGGCTTATCACCCCCTCATGGAGAGTCATAAGCCCCCTCCTTGCCATCGGACTCGGGTACCCGCCAGGCATAGGACAACGCTTGTGTTTTGAGGAAGGGAAAATGCTTGTCAGTATTTCATTATGGGATACCGGATTGGGTTGCCTTCCCGTCGTGATGATTAGTGACTCTGCAGCCGCATAGTGGTTTCGGGTCGTACGTCGACCGTTAAATTTTCGTTTTTGAATTATTTAGTTTTACCTTGCTTTTCATTTTGGAAATATTAAAACTGCTAATATGAAGGAAAATTCTGAAAGGACTAGAGCTGGTCTCTTCCTTTAGAACGCAGAGTTACGACCTATAAAAAAAAAAAAAAGGAGAGTTTAGCTGTACGCACGCTAGTTGCAGAGTACTTTCTGTCGAAGAGTGTTTCCGCTGCACTAGCGCTGCGGGCCTGAGACAAGAGAGAGGGCGGAGCTTCGGGGCCTGTAAGGGGCTATCTCTCTGCGAGTGCCTGGAGATTAAGTTCTCGGCTATCCTGAGTGGCAATGGCACTACACGGCTATAGGCCAGGGTGTTGGCGGCACACAGTGCGCTGGGTTCCAGTGTCGGGGGAAGGCCCTCAGATTACGACGGCCCTGAACTATGATGGGGGAGAGGTGGTCCGACTGAAGGTCTGCATAGAGGGTGGGAGAGAGGAGGGGATGCGAGGTGATCAGAGGCTGCAGGCTGCCATTTCCGAAGCGCGCAACAGGGCGGAGCGGAGATGCAGACGAGATGGGGTGACCGTGGGCTTGAGGGTGACGGTCATCTATCATGAGACCGAGTCATCAACTGGGACCGAGACAAGGGAGGAACAGCACAACGAGAGAGACTCAGGCGGGGAGAGTGAAATGAGCGAGGCGGACCGAGAAACGGACCTCAGGTCCTGGAACAGACCCGAAGAGATCCAGAGGCATCACCGGGCCGTGAAGCCGGTGGAGGAGGGACCCGAGGCCAGCTCAAAACAACTGACGCCCAGAGGCCGCGGGACAAGAGAGAAGCAAAACAAAGGGAAAGGGCGCGTGTGAAGAGCGCGGCGGCCAGAGTTCAACGCGCGGCCGTTCTGAGAAACAGGGAGTGAGCTACGGGGCTGTGGCAAGCAGACACGTGGAGATCGAAAGAGAGAGGGGGAAGGCCAGCAAAAGGGAATGATAGGCAAGTATGAGACGGTGATGCGTGGGCATGGTCTTCATATGGTGTGAGTTGTATACGGGCTTCCCAGTGGAGGACGAACTCGAGGCGAGCCTGCGACGACGCGGGAACTGAGAACTGAGAGACAGTTGCGAGCCGTGGAGAGGGGAAAGAGGGACTACGGACAAAAGGAAGAGGGTTGACCTTGGTATGAGAGCGCGAGACGGGCCATGTGGAGGAGCCAACTCAGGAGGGCAGAGCGCGGGAGGCCCATATTCCGTAGACAAGTGCTAGACAACTCACGTTGGAGTGATGATGCTGACGTCAACACAAGTGTTGCAGACAACTCCAGTTCTCGTTCTTCTTGCTGACGTCGGTGCCGGCACATGTTGGAGGTACTATGTGGAGAGAGTCGGGGGAGGAAAGAGAGAGCCTAAGAGATCGCTATTGACAGAGTGACAGTAGAGAGATGAGGAAGAGGACATTTTGTTCGCCGACGTCAAGATCGGTTTCTCGTACACTGAGACAGGCTAGCGGGGTGTGGCCATCGCAGGGATCATTCATCGGATGAGCAGGAGGAAGGAAGGGGGTCTAAACGCGTACTTTGGTCTCTCCCCCTGATCCAAGTTTTCCGGGTATAGAGTAATCATGAAGGAGGGAGAGATTTTTGTGGTGAAAAGTACAATTGTCCTGGAAAAACATGAGAACTGGGAGGAACGTGCTTGTCAGAGTATGGAATTTCACAGACAGACACAGAGGGAGTTCGCAGTCAGGAGAGCAGGAGAGAGAAAATACATTGAGTATGTAATCTATTTCTGCGAACATGACGGTAAATTGCACAGTATCAGTTCCTCACTAGAAAGCGTGGAACAGGCTGAGGCAAAGCTCGCATAAGCTCGATAGCGCCCAGATCACCATCTCCGGAAAGTCTATCTGTCAGTAAACTTGGCAGCATCTTTCTCCCCGGTCAGCAACTACAGCAGCACTCAGAACTACTCTCAGAACTGTGTATGATATTCAGAGTAGTGTTCAAGACTTAGGGCAATATTCAGTACTCGGAACTGTACTCAGATCAGAACGCAAGATAGTACTCGAAACTGTACTCAGATCAGAACGCAAGATAGTACTCGGAACTGTACTCAGGTCAGAACGCAAGATAGTACTCGGAACTGTACTCAGATCAGAACACGAGGCTGTACTCGGAACTGTACTCAGATCAGAACACAAGGCAGTACCTGGAATTGTGCTCAGAACAGTACCTATTACTCAGAACTGTACTTTTGAGCCAGGAAGACATCATTCTGAGCATTTTTTAACTGTTGCTCAGTTTTTACTCAAGTCGTTACTCAACAGCTACTCAGTCGTCGGTTTAATTGATATGCAGCTGATAATTAAACGGTTCTCAACAGACAGGTCCCAACAAACAGTTCTTTGACAATCAGAAATCCGACACGGACAACCAGAGACCAGACTCAGCGACACGCGGCTTGGTGCCCAACGCTGTCAGTGTTGATCAGCCCCTGACGGTTTTATTGGTATTCAGTGCTCAACTCTGCAAGTGGAGCGGCTTACGACGAAATTTCAGACAACCTTCAACCAGCGGTTAAGTGGCTCTCGGCCAGTTTTTATTAATCAGCTCTTCAATTAGTTGTCAATCAGCCTCTTAGAGTATTCATTAATCAGCAGTCGGAGGCGTGCATTAGTTGGCGGCAGATTCGATCAATGCAATCAGACTAGAGATCAGCTCACTTATCCAGACATTCAACAATCAATTTAGCTACCAGTTCGGTAACCGGATCAGCGATCAAGCCATCGATAATCAGCAGGCAGCAAACACCACATTCATGAGTACAGTCCAATCTTTCCCGGTCAGCGAGTCAGTGCTGACCAATCTCAAGCAGTTCTCATACAAGGAGGCTATTCGTTACCAGTATGTCAACGCCGTCGGCTTTAGACAGGGAGATCTGTCAATCTTTGTTGTCTAGACCAGCTTTGCTGAAGGTACTATCCATCACCTAAGGCCCTACCTGAAAAAGGGCAAGGAGGCACATGATCATTTTGATGCAGTGTGGATCTCCGCCACCAGGTATCTGG